GGGACCTGCCATGGGGATTCTCCCCCAGGTTTGGCCTGGGAACTCACTTTGCCTCACACATTTTCAGTGTCACATACCACGCCAAAGCCAAAACCAAAACCGTGGTGGGGTTCAGGAGGCGCAACTCTTCCCATCTTCTAATTTACTTTGCAGTTGACAGATTTTTAGGACTGTGCTTATTTTACAGATGTGCCATCTCCAGACATCCCTTAGCATCTTATTAATATCCTAAAATGGAAGCATTTTATTAAGCAGCAATATGAGTGATAGAGTGTAACGGATTTAGGTAAAATATACAAAATTTGACCATCGAAATCTGCCATTTTCAATAGGACCATGGCTCCATACACCTTGACAGGCCAGCAGACTAGTGTGATTTTTATGTTTACCTGTATAAGACCACAAACTTCCAGTCTCTTCATACCATCCTGCCTGAGGTAACACTCACAAGTGACAGTTGTTGAGAATGCTGAAATTACGGCAGGCATAAGAGGGACCAGGATGTCCAAGTAATTGCCACTCAACTGACAAATGGCTGGGATAGTGGAAATTAGTATTCTATATGACATTGCACTGGAAGAACTTCAAGGAAGAAAAGCCATCTCTGGTGGTATGCAATACCACGTTACCTAATGTTTATATATTTTGAAAAGAACTTGCACATGTGAAAAAAAAATCAATGAAGAATTTTGTTTTCCTATTGTCTCTGGTTACTTTAACGTTTCTACTCCCAGTGATCAGATACTTCTTGACCATGCTTCCATTTTGTAGCAGTTGGGTTTCAAACCTTTACAACTTCCAGTCCTGGGATTCCAGTCCAAAGAGAGCACCGCTGGCAGTTCATCTGGAAGGTCTGGCCATGAAAACCCCAGTACGTGGTGTTAGTTTTAAAAATAATCAGTTTCCTACTGAATTTCATATCCCGACCTCAGTTAAGACACACAACCAGAAGAAAAATACAGCAATCTAAAGAAAAACAGAGTCCGTACTTTTAAATATTGGTAAGGGTTGTATAAAGATGACCCAGAATCATTTATGTTATGCTATGTACTTTGTCAAGACCTTAAAGAGAATCGAAGAGGGTAAAACTGAAAGGTTGTAACAGAGAGGCCTATGGTGCTCAACATCTTCCTTCTCCACGTTGGTTGCTAGACATCGCCTCCCAGACAACGGCTGAGGAGCTGCTGCCCAGCTCTCTGGCGCGGTTGAAGAACAAGTCTTCCAGCTGCTCCCTTCCTTCTGCAAAAACAAACAAACAAACAAACAAACACTTCGATTTGTCGCCTGAATAAAAAGCCAGCCTTCCCGTGTGTGAAGACTATGCTTTTCACCAATAACACCCGCTATTACATTTCCCCACTTCCCTTATCTGCTGCAATAGAGACGTGAGCACTGCCAGCGCCATGAAGGGATGCATGTGAGCAGGGTAAAAAAAAAAAAAAGGGGAGCCCCCACTCCTGACAGCACCAGCCGGGGCAAAACTGGGGCCGGGGCCGGGCG